ACACACACACACACACACACACACACACACACACACACACACACACACACACGCACACACACACACACAGCAGCTCAGTCATGTGTAAAAACTCTGCTGGTCCATTTATTTGTCTCTTCCAGCCGTTTTCTCTGCACAGTTCATTTTTGTTCCTACAAAAATGAAATGAACTCCTGCCCCCAATAAACCAGAGATGGTTCCGCAGGTGTGTGTCTCTGTGTGTGTGTCTCTGTGTGTGTCTGTGTGTGTGTGTCTCTGTGTGTGTGTCTCTGTGTGTGTCTGTGTGTGTGTGTCTCTGTGTGTGTGTCTCTGTGTGTGTGCATTACTGTGTGTCTCACACAATAAGTTGGGAGGTCATCAGATATATCGTCTGCTCAGACCTGCTCGGCTCTGAAGACACATTTTAGAACCGTGTCATTAAAAGACTTTAGATTTAATTTGAGTTTAAAATCATGATTCTCTGAAACCCCGGCGCCTCGTCTCTTAATGCGTCAGCTGATGGCGAACAGGTAGTTACGTGTTTGTATTATGGATCTTAAATAGCTCCGCAAAGTCAAACCCTCCCAAACTGCTTCAGAAACCAATGATGCAGTTCATTCAGTCAGAACGATTCAGGGAATGAAAATCAGCTCAGAGTTGAATAATGTTGTTGATGAAGAGGCAGAAAATGATGAGATGAGCGAGAGATTATGAGATCGACATGAAACGTTGTTTTTGTTCCTAAAACTGCTCATGAAAAAACTAATGAGTAGAAAATGTTCATCATCTCTGACACCAGAGACTCGTCCACTCTACGAGCGCCCAGCAACTGAAAATGTTGTTCCACCAAATATAATCAGATTTTATACAAACGTGCCCGCGGGAACATTTTCCATCTTTAACTTGTGACGCTGTGTGCTGCATGTTCGTCCTCAGGTTTTTACCGACCATCCAGACCTAAAGGTTCCACCTGTTCCGCAGGAACTTGTCTTTGACTCGGAAACGCTGCAGAAGAAGAGAAACTAAATTCCTGGATTCACAGATTTGGATCTGCACCAAAACATAATGTTCTGTCCGTCCACCAGGTTTCACGGTGACAGACAAAGACTTAATGAAAACATAACGTCCTCTCTGGACACTTTTAGAAAACTTCACGAAGTCCTCTGACCACGAGCTTCATTTAGATTATTAACGAACTGGACTGATTGTGGAGAGAATCGCTGCCTGATTCATCCTCACACGTAGAAACAGTTGGTCTCCGTATCCGTCGTGCTGCTGTTGATCTTAATGTCATGTCAGTCATCGGGCCACAGGCGGCTCCATTAACTAACCGCCCCCCACAGACACAACACCAATTACCTCCAGGTCTCCCTCCCCTCATCTGTCTCCACGTCCATTACAGACGCCACCGCAATTAACTGTGAGTGTCGCTCTCATTAGTGCGAGAGGTAAAAGGTCACAGAGGAGAAGAGCTGGACCACAGTCAGACGTGTTTTCAGTTTAAAGGGTCAGAGTTCACGATGACAATAACCACAGACCATCACCCCAAAGATACGACTTCAAATAATTCATCAAGAGTTCGACGACTGAGTCCAGAGAGGAAACTCGTCTTTCTGTCAAACCTGAAAACTGCTGATTCTGAGCGAGCTGCTCCCAGTGGCTCATTATACTGTATAAATATAAATATATATATAAATATATATATATATATCTCTATCACATAAATACAACTTGACAGGGTTTGAAGTGAGACTCTCCCTCTCTCATTAGTTTTATATATAAAAGGTCACAGAACCTGTGAACCCCCCCCCCCCTCTTTTCTGAATGAAGCGTGACTCGTCTCCCTCCCTCTCTCTCCACTTCATCTCCATTGCTGTCGCCATGGTGACAGAGCGGCATCAATGACACGCCATCTCTCACCCTCTATATTTACTCAGTTGCTGTAGCGACGGCCCAGACGTGCACTGAAGAAGAAGAAGAAGTCCCACAGACCAACAGACGGACGTTGTCTGTACTTGTCTGTACGACAACAAGCAGACGCCTGAATGTTACTTTCACGTGTTTCAGTGAAACGTGTCTCAAAGATAATGGACACGACTGAACAGCTTCTGTTCTTTCAGTCCTTTCACCAGAATTTAAACGAAAAAGACGACGAGACGTGATCCAGGAAGAGTTTGAGATAAGTGTTGAGAGAAGGATGAAGAATTAATATTTGTTCAAGATGTTGACAAAGGCGTCTGAGAAGAAAAACACATTTACAAAATGGATGAACACAAACTACGACGCTGAAACTTTAAGACGGTGGAAACACACGTTTGGTGTCTGCAGACTTTTGGCCACAGCAGAAGCTCAAAGTGAAACTGATCCCACTCAGGGTCTGTCAGCTGTGATGCGTTCACTGTCAGCTGCTTGTTAATGACGCTCAAAGTCCTCCATTCACACGCTGAGTGTTTTAACGGCGAGTTTTGTTTCAGCGGATCTATTTCTGTTTGTCTCACTTCCAGCAGATGCCGAACAAAAACCGCTCAGACACTCAGACGCTCAGCTTTAATTCTGATTGTGTCACATGCAAAACTCTGAGGCTGCAACTGTTTTCATTATCAATGCACCTGATTGATTGAATAATGAATACAAGTGTCTCATGACTCCCTCTCATTCAAAACTGTCTGATGGACAGTCAGAGATGTTGAGTGAGAAAATAACAAATATTCACATTCCAGGAGCTGATACCAGTGAATAATAATAATATATGTTATAATTAAATACTGTCATATTAGTATTTAAGGTTATATTGGTTATAAGTTGATCACAAATAAAGTCAATGAATATAATCTGAAGTGTTCCTGCAACGAACAAAGAAGTCTTCTTCAATTCATTATCACAAAACCATGAAGTCGTTAAATGAGTCAGCGAATCCACAGATCTGCTGATCACATGTTTCCTGGCTCGTTCATCTGACCCTGAAACGTTTGTCGTACCTTCGGGTTGAGGACCAGCTGCTGCTCGTCAAAGTGCAGCAGAGCCACAGAGTTCGACTCCGAGTTGTTGACGAAGATCTGGAGACAAGGATAGAGCGACGTCCCTTTACAGTCGGCCCCGCACGTGAACACACACTCGAACATCTCCTCCGGACGCAGCACCGACACCACCTGAGAGAAGAAGAGGAGGAAGAAGAGGAGGACGAGGAGGACGAGGAGGAAGAAGAGGAGGAAGAAGAAGAGGAACTTCAGACTGTGATTTACCATCGTGAGCCAATTTAAACATTTTCATCTTAAACAGGATCTTGACTGGTTTATACAAACAAAGGTTGATCGCCCCCTGGTGTCTGGCTGCAGTTTATGTCATAAACTCCTCCTCCATGTTAGTAAATGGGACATGGACCGAACTCTAAACTCAAAGTAGACGTTAAATGAATGTTTCTGTCGTTTCAGCTCGTTCTTCTCTCTGATGTTTGTTCAAGTGTTTCTCATCAGTTATTTATGATATAAAAACAGGCGGAGACGTGATGATTGACAGCTGACTCTGACTCCTGATTGGTCGAGGGCGTGTACTGAAGATACGTTTAATCCTGAATGTGCCTGTAAGTATTCTGGATATTCCACATGGCAGCAGTTCTTCTCTCTGCTCGTTTCCAGACTGAAGTGACAGAACGAAAACAAATATCAATACCACGTAAAACCAAAAAATCAATCTGAGCAGATTTGATAAAAGTCCGAGCTGTCTTCATCAGTCAGGAGGTCAGCGAGCTGCAGCGATGAGATTTATGTTCTGTTGAGCAGTGGATTAGTGAGCGCTCTGACGGCCACACCACTTTGGACTGTGTGATTTAAAACACACTCACACACACAAACAAAACCCGCCTCCACTCTGTATAATGCAGGAACATTATTTCAGGACAATGCAATAAGCTAACAGCCGAATAAATCATGTCTGAATTCATCATTCACAGTCGACAGCGGCCGGAGTGCAGACTGTGGACGCCTGTAATTTATGACATGAAAACTCTCCACTGCTTCAGAACGCTGCACAGATGGAATCATCGACAAGGAGCCGAAGGAGGAACTCACTTTGTGTCGACAAAGAAAGATTGAATGACCTCATGCGTTTAAAGAGGCCCGAGGTGGAGATGACGTCACACACACTTAAATTAAAATAATTTAATCACAGGGAATGAAACTGATGACGTCAGTAAATATAGAGCGAGAATCATCTCAATGATGTCATACGATCACTGACATCATGTGGAAGTCAGAAAACGACATCATGCAAACCTCTGCATCCATATGGTAGGGATGATGTCATCACGATGTCACAATGAAATCAGAAAATGACGTCATGTAGTGCACAAAGTTTTACAACCAGTAAGATTAGATCTAATTTACAGTTTATGCTACATTACCCCGCTCACTTTGATTACTGATTCAAAAACTGATTATTGTTTTCAGTTGATCAATTCATTGTGAAATGTACTTGTTGATCATTTAATTGATTAATTGACAAATCAGGACTCCCACAGTGCATCTCTGACAGAGTGACTGATGATTGACCGCCCGGTGTCAGAGATCCTGATTCGTTTCTCAGTTTCTAAACATGAATCTTAGTTTAGCACAGATCCCAGATCAGACTCTGATAATTATTAAAGCATCATGAGACAAACAAACACTTCGTTCTTCTTTTCAACCGAATCCTTCAAGGTTTAAAATTCAATTTAAAGAAAAAGTAACATGGTGGAATCAAATCATCAGCACACGATTATTAATTACTGTGGTTATCAATTAAACTATTCTTAATCAAGTAACTCAATTAAATAATTTTTCTTTACAACGGCAAAAGAAGTTGCCCATCGAAATATCTCCAAGCTGTTTAATGTCGATGTAGAAATATGCAGAGTACTCAGGTTACTATTTCATAAAACTGCAAAGAGCAGCGAGTTTAGGTTTTTACTCAATAAATGAAGAATCTAAATGTTGATATCAAATATTGGTTGAATAAATATTTGTGATAAGTTGAAGTGATGATAACCTGGTGACACGGAGTACAGTGACACCATCACAACTTCTTCTAATAACACAGAAAGTACTCGTGGTACTTCTAAAGCCGTGTAGTAGTACTACTGTTTAAAACCAGAGCAGCGACGGACACCTCCATTTTACTTTTTCTCCTCAGGCTCGAGATCTAATAGAACATGTTGAGATCAGGGCTCAGTCTCTGAACATGTTGGATTCAGTGAAGAAGTTCAAGTGTTCTTCTGTCTCGTGTCTCCGGTGAGGAGCTCCAGCTGCAGCGGGGCAGCGCGGAGCTGCTGGCCGGGCTCACCGTGCAGTTGGCCGGTTTGCTCTGGAGACTCTGCAGCGTCGGGCTGAGCCAACAGAAGCCGAGGATGAAGAGGCTCAGGATCCCGCAGGCGATCAGGAACAAGCCCAGACGGATGCTCTTATCCTCGGCCTCGGAATACTCGTACGACACCCGGATCTTCGCCATGGCAGCTCCGAGGAGTGAGGCTCCTCCACCGGCATGGAGAGGAGGAGACGAGGGGAGGAGGAGAGGGAGAGAGAGA